TCTCTCCAGCCATGGCCAAGTGTCCTCTGAGGGGCAAAATCGCCTCTCAGCAAATTAGTCCTAAAGAGACAAAAAGCTGGTTGTGAACTGTGTGTGTGCAGGCACAACCTTGTGTGTGTTTCACGGAGGACAAGGCCCATGAACGAGGGGCCACCACCCTTGAGATCCGGAAAATGCAAGTGTCAGTTGGCTGGGGGTTTGGAGTACGTACAATACGATTTCCATAAGTATGAATATTTATCAGCTAGTCATTTGAGAGCATGATGTAAAGAAGCCATCTGTGGAGGCCTTTATGGAGAGAAAGGAGGCTAAAAGAAATGTGCAAAATGTTTATTTTTAGAGTCCAACTCTCGGCAAGTTGGCTTCGTCCTCTGAAAGCTGCCCACTCCGGGCGTCAAGTGCATCATTGGGTTAGGAGAGGCGAGCCCCACGCTCCTGGTTCCAAGTCATCCTTGTTCAATTAAAAATTACTACCAGGTATCATGCAAAGGTAAGATGGCCAGGTGGACACTAATTAGTCTGGAATACTTAATTTTTATGTTTTTGATTGGTTGTTGCAGGAATAAGTAACAGCGGCACATGACAGAAGTCAACAGGCAGATGAGAACATACAGCGAACATTTTCTCTCTGCCCCTCCCACTTGGCCCCGGCTCTTTCCAATGTAGTCATTCTTGCCAGTTTCTTCAGTATCCTTTCTTGGGGAACTTTAGAGGGTAAATTTTTGAGTATCAGAAAAAATGCTCTAGCTTCTGTTGTTTACCTTTGGTTCCAGGCAGGATTCGTTCCTGCAAAGATTGATGCCCACACCCTTTAGTTACTGGAGAAATCCAAACTGGGATAAATTATTAATTGTAGGAAATGGAGAAATTCGTGAGCCTTCAATAGAAAGCTTAGCGTTTTGTGAAGATGCCCACTGTTTAGAGCAATGAGGGGTCCCTGAAAATTCCCTTTTCAAACTCTAGTCCTAGATCAAGAGAAATTACACAATGCTCTCAATTCCTGCAGTAATACTGGGTTTCTTTTTGGCTTTCTGTTGCCACAGTTTATGTTTTTGCATGTGTGTGTTCCCTGTTCAGAGGTATTGATATGAAAATGTTTATTGTGTCCTCAAATGTTTGCATGCTCCAGTTTTGGGTGTTCTATCCATAGCGAATCAGACTTAAACAAATTTCTGAGGTCTAAAACGGATTGCCAAACCATGGTCCATGGGTCAGTCTAGTCCACCATCCATTTTTGAATGACCCTGGAAGCTAAGAATAGTTTTTACTTTCATAAATGGTTGGAAAAAAGGAAAAGAAGAATATTTGGTGACGTGAAAAATACATGAAATTCAAGTATCAATGTTCACAAAGTTTATTGGAAGACAGGTTTGCCCATTCCCTTCTGTATCCTCTAAGGCTGTTTGGTGCTATAATGGCAGACTTGCACGGTTAGAGACTACAATTCCTGCAAAGCCTGAAAGATTTCCTATCTGACCCTTTACAGGAAAAGCTTGCCGGCTCCTGGTCTATAAAACGGAAATAAAAGGCAGACACATGACTGAAAATTAATCAGTTTTTGGGTGTAGACCTCTGATCAAAACACAGCTTAGGTCAAGTATGGTTTTCCTGTCCCGAGGATATAAACCACGCTGGAGTCACTAACTGTCAAATTAATCACGACACTCGGACCCACAACTTGTCTGGCTGTGCAACTGCTGGGTCTGGTTGCCTGTTAGTTTCTTAGGTCAGTGGTCTCCAAACCTTTTTGTCACATATTCTAATAAACATTTCTGAGCTAACTTCCACTATTGTTCATTTAAAGTTATAAGTTCTGCGTGTGCCACTGTGCTGAGATGCACACGGCAGATCCCACGTAGGCAGGAGTTCTAACACCCCCTCACTCCTCCGAGTCACCTTCTTACCCCCGGGCAGGCGCACCTCACTTTGGAACTGATTGCCCCAGAATGGTGTCCAGTGATGGGAACAGTTTCAACATGGTTTCAAGGCCTTCCTGGGCTGATGGTTTTTGCTGGGGAAAATGGCACGTGTGTTGTCTGTCTGCCTTCTTAGGGTGTTAGAGTTTCGAGAATTCTTAGAATTTCATCCCGTCAACCCCCCTTAATCTTTTAGATGAAAGTAAGGCCTAGGGAGGTCAAACAAGTTGTCTGAAGCCTAAAGAGAAGTTGCTGTGGCGCCAGGACCGAAGCTTTCCTCCTGATGTTCTTCCACACCAAGCTCTGTCCCACTGGGGGCCCCCTCTCTCCTTCACCTGCTCTGCTCCCTGGCAAGGGACTCTGTGACATGCCCATTAAACTAATAAGGGACCATTCTAGATCCTTCTAAAACTACTCATTTAAAGGAAACTATTTGAGTGAGCTTCATACAGATGTTTCTAGGGGTGCCACTTGCAACGTTTTCCCCCCTTTTTAGGGGTTTTAACTTTCAGAGGAGAAAGGGAAAAAAATTCAGGTCTTTTTGAAGCCTCCTGTACTGAGTTGACTGGTGCCCCACACCTCAAAAAAGGTATGTCCACCTGGAATCTGTAAATGGGACCTTTTTGGGGAGAAAAAAGTCTTTGCAGATTGGAGGGTTCAGCCACAAGCCAAGGGACCATGGGGCCATCAAAAGCTGGAAGAGGCAAAGGGTCCTCCCTTAGAGCCTTCAGAAGGAGGGTAGCCTCACTCACACTTTGATTTCAGACTTCTGACCTCCAGAAACTCTGAGAGAGTAGGTCTCCGTTGTTTTAAGGCACCACTTAGTGGTCATTTGTTACGGCAGCCCCAGGAAGCTAACACATCTGTCATGGAAAGTGAGCTGTGAGCAGGAAGAAGGTTGAGAACCAGACTGCTGCCTGGAAATGGGAACTGACCTCACTTGGTCTCATTTCTAGGAGCACACTGAGGCCATTTATGAAATGTTCTATGTGCCTTGAGCAGATGTTCAAGG